CTTGCTTGCTTGCTAGGGGTGTGGAGCGCAAGCACTCCTTGGGCTCTCTCTCTCTCTCTCTCTCTCTCTCTCTCTCTCTCTGTGTCGGCAAGCAGGCAGTTCGCAGCGTTTCATTATGATCTGTTGCTTTGACAGGCCTAGTTGTTTTGCTTTCGTCTGAGTATTGGCTAGATTTTACAAGGTCCAACTGTACACAACTATCGGATACATCCATAGTGGCCCAGGACAGGATCGCTTACGACTCATGAAGCATTCATCTACTGGGGATGAACGGCATTATTCTGCAGCTAAGCGGCTGCATAAGGTACTCACGCAGGGGCAGATCCCGAAGCTTCTGCTGTGCAGCCTCGACGGGTTACCTACACAGCTGCCTGAGCTACACTGATCGGAAATCGGATGCATGCTGCATACCTCTCTCCGAGGTGCCGTGGAGATCAAGAGAAAGTTGACCCTGTGGCGTGCCTCATGGTCCGCGACGATGCGGAGGCGGGCTGCATGCCTTTGCTCCTCCCTCTTCTCTGCACTGCTGTCATCCTGGTGGGATTTCGGATCCCTTTGTAATTGACGGGCTTTCTCATCACCATTAGACTTCGAAGGTTCAGCGCCATCTGGAGATTGACATGACGATTTGAGAATGCAGGGCAGCACATCAAGCGCAGGAGGCATCAGCACTCATCAAAGGTGATAAGTGCGTATCATCCACACCAGACTCCCCCCGTCCAGCCGAAGATCCCATCCCGCTTCGTCTTGAAGGCAGTGATCGGTGAATTCGGTGGAGGGGTATACTATGCGATCAAGATGTAACAGAAAGCGACTATGCTCGCCCGTCGCCTGCATGCTTCGACTTATTCCGTCCCTGGACTGCTCGAGCCTTTTGCTTCATGGACTCTGCAGCCTCGGCAGCTGCTTTGGCTTTCCTTGGTGTGGCGGTCATGTCTGCTTGGCCACACTAAGGCACATTGCCAGCAACCTAGGTTTCTTAGCCGGGTGAACAGACGATGCGGTGATAGGAGCTCAGTCCACCCAGGGATCTGCAAGAGTACTGGAAGGAACGGGATTCTGTTCTTGTGTAGCTGAAGCCGTCGGCAAGGGCGTTATATGATTGCACACGAAGTGGTGACTCTATTCCGAACGGCTACCCTCAGCATCGCCGGAATTTCCCAAACACAGCTCATGCCGGCCCTGAATGGAGAACTTCAGGCAGGCGTCTCTGCCCGACGCTCACGAATCTGGCGCGAGACCTCGAGCTTGGGGTCGGTAGCTTGCAAACTGGATATGCGTAATCTAGAATCTAGATACGACAGCTCGTTCCGCGGTTTCCAGCTAAGTTCCTCTTGAAATGTGGTCTCGGCTCCGGTAACATCTGTAAAGGAGCGTAGAGAACATCACCCCAACTACTTGTAGAACCTGTGGGCCACGCGAACACCGCTGCCATGTGAGCCCCGCAGTGCCTCTTCTTCGGGAGTCAGGTAATTGTACGGCCGCCCATTTCGCTCGATGTATATCCGAGCACTTTCGAAGATGTCCTGGCTGTTGGAGTGGGCATTCAACCATCAATGCAACAGCAAACGGCCTTTTTTAGGCTTGCCGCTTGCCCAACCGCATTACACGTTCGAGAGGCCGCATCAGAAATTCAAGTTAGAGTACGTGTGCATGCTTCCCACTGGGAGGCTACTTTGCTCCAAGATCCAGCTTAGGTCCTCCTCGTCCTTGCCGTCAATGGGAAGGTTGAGCACGCCTTTGCCTGCGACATCCTGGAAGAAGTCTTGCAGGCTGTGCACATCCTGCGTGAGGTTGTTGTTGACATAGGCCTGGCAGGCTGTGCAGCATCTTCTGCATCCATGTGCTTCTAAGCAACACTGGGAAAAACTCGGCTCAACTGACCGACAGAAACGGCCAAATTAACATCTGGGTTGTAGTTTCGAGTTGCCAGTCTTCACGACTTAAGCCATACATTTTCTCGATTCCACACTACCATTCTCTGGCAGTCGCAATCAGGGCATATGAAGTAAGGTGAGTTACTCTACGCTCATTGCAAGCAGTCACCACGAAGGGTGTCTCCTGACTATAGACTCAAGCTCATGCGCAGAGGTCATGCTGGCATCATCGTGCCAGCTGCAGGCCTACCCCGGAATCCCCGAAATCGACCAGATTGAACAAGCAACCTCAGCTGGCCTGCATGGACTTCTCGAAAGCCTCGAGCGAAGCACCGCTGCTCTGCCATCGAGCCTTGCAGGTAGCGGCCGGCGCCTGTGTGATGATCACCTGAGAATACTACGGTACGCTTCACCAAGGCACAGGATAAACTCGTCATGCCCATGACTGTGGGCATTCCCGGGAGAATGAAACCTGATTAGCTGTTCCTCCAAGCTGCCATGGCCGGGCACGTCTCCTCGAACCATGACATGGCTTCTACATGTGCTTCGAATGAAATCATGCATTAGAACCTGTCAACAAGTTGCCTCCCAAGCAGCGCCAAATCCAGCACAAGGACTTTCACTGAATGGAAGTGAATCTCAGATGGCGTAGCAGTTTCACTGCAGTTTCCGGGTTCTCCTCGTTGAGCCTGCGCTCAATCTTCGGCGGCGTTGGCTCTCCGCCCTCTGGCTCAGCCTCCTGCTCCTCTCGAGGGGAGCTTGGGGTTGAAGCGGCTTTCTTGGGTTAAAGACGGTGGGTCAAAGAGCCGTCGACGGATCCCAAGCTCAAGAGCTGCTTGGTGTGGGTCGGGGGATCCACTTCATTGCCTTATGCGAGGCTCGAGACAAAGCGCAAGCAACTTGCATGGAGCCGCGTGTTGGCTTCTGTACCTTGAACGGGTGTTCCCACTGCCAAAACTAAAGCATGAATATTAAAACTGGAACATCTTGCACAACGAATTTGGTGTTGATTGCTCACATCATGGGAGGGGTTCGTAAACAAGAGCAGCAGTTTGCCAACACAAAGACACGATCTGAGTGTCCAAATGCGCTACGACCCAGAAGTGCCTCCTCCGTCTTCGGCACCTCTATGTCGTACCGGAACAGCCTCGGCGATAGTGACCCTCCCCACCCTCTAGCTGCTGACCGTCCTCAAGGTTTGAAGCACTTTGATGCTTCCGGCGCAGTATTTTCGAGTATCGATGTGTTTAACCGAGGAGCTTCTCCGCCTCTGCGAAACCGATGCCCCCTGCCAAGGCTGAACAGTTGGCAGCAAGGCCAGCCCCTGTGTGTCTCAAATATCTCCTAGATCCTTAGTGGTAGTTAAATTAGCATGTCATGATCATCGCAGCCTGCATCGAGGACGTACCCCCGGAAGTGGCACACGCTGGAGGAGATCTGCGATATCCTCGAAACGGGACGCGGAAGTGGCATGCAAGACCAAACGCAAAGTGATACTAAGTCAAGCTCATCTCCTCACTCGAAGATCGTTTAAACTACAATGAGGCTTCAAGCCTTCTAGTTCAACTGTCAACAAAGCATACCAGTATACCATCTCCCAGCTCTAGTCTCAGAAACTTTAAACACCATGCAGCCCCAGGCGCAGCATACCCAAACCGACGACCTGCCCTTCCCATGCCCTGTTTGTGCGGAGAGTTTCGTTTTGTCCAGATCCGTGCTGCCCAACTCTTCGGGCAAGGATAGATGCGGCACCTTGAAGTGATCCGCCACAGCCTGGGCCTTAGGACATGTGCTGAGAGGCTTCGGAACGAAGGCAGAAGCACGGATCGCCGGAAAAAGCTGGAGCAAGAGTTGACATCAGAACTCAGGGCCAGTCATCCCATCCAGTGGCCGAGCAGCCACTCTGATCACTCCACGAAAGATCCTCGCACCTAAACTTTAAGAATGGTGCTTTGGCTGCCCAGTTGCTAGATTCGTCTTTCCCGAGTTCGGCGGCCCAGCAACGAGGATCCTGAGGGCAAGTTAACCGTGACTAATAGCATAACTAGCTGTCTTGACTCATGCAGAACAGATACCAGCGACATCGCACACATGTGGTACGGTTGCATTGCAAGCGGGGGACCGCATGGCCCGCAGCTTCTGGCCGTTGCAGAACTCATCGGCAATTGTCCGGAGGTTTGCGAGCAAACCATTCCTCGACATCTCAACACATGTCATGGGGCTGCCTCTTCCAGGAACAGAGTGGCGAGACTCCAAGAACTCCGGTAGAAACCGGATCCTGCAGCCTGCTGTGTCGGAATGTTAAACCCAACAAGACTTTGACCCGTGTCAAGTGGCTTGCAGATCCATCCGGGAGGCTCCAGGCTGGCGCAAAAGTCCTGAAACACGGATCGCCCGAATTTCCCAGCTGCCTTGCACCGCAGGATTCGTTTGGCTCCTCTGCGAGGGCAATGGCCGATGGCTCGAGCCATAGGTCCAAGGCCATGGCGTCCTGGAGAGGGCTAAGTATAGTATAGTATAGTAGAATATAATATGATATAATATATGATTCCAATTAACATGACCCGATCAACACATGACAGTTGGTGATTGCGGAACGGCACTAGACGGGTCAAACCGGCCCGCCCGACTCAACAAAAGCCCACACATGATCAAAAACCTGGCCCCAGGAAGTGGAGCTCGAAGTGCTTCACGGGAGCACACAAAACGTCTCCCAGAGAAAAAAGGCCATCTGAAATCCGAACACATGCCCTGGTTGTAGGTAAAACCTCGGCTCCAAGCTCAATGAGTCCAAAATGCCATGAAATGAAAATGATTGCTCCGGCCTGGAGCTCCGTCATCCCACCCTCAGCAACGCTTGCCTCTGCAGTGCGGGAGATCTCGGTATGTCTGGAATGGAAGCTACCGTAAGGACTTATAGACGTTCCTGCAGCTACGAGACCGTTGCCGCTGGCAGAAACTGGATCTTTGGCTATTTAGCTGGGCAGTTGATCTGCGATTCAACATGTCCAAGAACAAGAGCCCAAAATAGGAAGCACCTTGGACACGCGTGGCACATCGTAATGCTCGCCCATTTCGTCCACAATGGCTTGGACAATATCCTTACTGATGAGATTGCATATAGCGCCACATTGCAGCCCCCAACACACGCAATGCAGGACTCATTGATCGCAACTAAACTAGCCCACTTGTGTCCACGATCTCACGCTGAGCAGCAGATGTCGCTTTAGCTGTGGATGTGGACTTCTCAACTTCTTGGTTATCGAAACATGCCTTGTCATTGGCCTGTTTAGTTGCACCTTGCCAATCAAGTCTGCAGATAGATAGATAGAATACACATATTCTGTGTATATACGTGCATACATACATACATACATACATACATACACGCAGACCGACGGACAGACAGCCAGGCAGACAGACAGACAGACAGTCAGAGACAGACAGCCACAGACAGACAGAGACAGACAGAGACAGACAGAGACAGACAGAGACAGACAGACAGACAGACAGACAGACAGACAGACAGAGACAGACAGAGACAGACAGACAGAGACAGACAGAGACAGACGGACA